GGAGAGCCATATAGGGCCCAAAGGATGGCTAGGAGGGCCATATAGGGCCTGAAGGATGACTTGGAGGGCCATATAGGGTCCAAAGGATGGCTTGGAGGGTCATATAGAACCCAAAGGAGTGTTTGGAGGGCCGCATCGGACTCAAAGGGCCATATAGGGCCTATAGAATGCCACTGAGAGGCGTATATGACTCAAGGGAAGGCTTGGACAGCCATATATGGCCTGAAGGATGGCTTGGAGGGACATATAGGACCATATAGGGCTTAAGAATGCCTCTGAGAGGTATATATGACTCAAGGGAAGGCTTGGACAACCATATAAGTCCTGAAGGATGTTTTGGAGGGTCATATAGGGTGCAAAGGGTCATATAGGACCTAAAGAATGCCTTAAAGAAGCATATATGGCTCAAGGAAAGGATATGGACAGCCATATATGGCCCAAAGGATGACTTGGAGGGCCATATACAGCTGAAAGAATGGGCTAGACAGTCATATATTGCCCAAACGATGGCCTGTAGAGCCACATATGGCCCAAGGGTGACTTCAAGGGCCATATATGGCCGAGGAATGACTTGGAGGGCGATATACAGCCCAAAGGATAGCTTGGAGGGCCATATAGGGCCCAATGGATGGCTTGGAGTGTCATATATGGCTAAGGAATGGCTTGCAGGACTGCATATGGACCCAAATTGTGTCTTGGAGATCCATATATAGCTCCAATTACAACTTAAGGGATCATATATAGCCCAAAGGATGACGTGTAGGCACATATATGGCCCGAAGGATGGCTTTGAGGGCCATATATGGCTAAAGAATGGCTTGCAGGGCTATATATGGCTCCGAATTATTTCTTGAAGAGCCATATACGGCTCAAATTATGACTTGAGGGGTCATATATGGCCGAAGGAATGGCTGTGAGAGCCATACATGCCTCGAAGGATGGCTTGGAGGGCCGTATATGGCGCAAAGGATGGGTTAGAGGGTCATATATAGCCCAAAGGTTGGCCCGAAAGATGGCCTAGAGGGCCATATATGGAGTGGCTTGGAGAGCTGTATATGGCTCAACGGAGGGTTTGGAGGTCTATATATATGTCTCAGAGGGCTATATATGGCTCAAAGGGTGGCTGGGAGGGCCATATATGGCTCAAATTATGTCTTGGAGGACTATATATGACTAAAGGATGGATTGAAGGGTGATATATGGCCCAAAGGGTGGTTTAGAGGGTATTATATGGCCCAAAGAATGGCTGTATATGGCTCAAGGAAGGACTCAGAGGGCAATATATGTCTCAAAGGATGGCTTGGAGGATGATATATACCCAAAGGATGGATTAAAGGGTCTTATATGTCTTAAATAATGTCTTGGCGAGCTATATACGGCCCAGGAATGGCTATATACGGACCCGAGGAAGGCTCAGAGGGCCATATATGGCCTAAGAGGTGTATTTGGAGAAGGTCAGACGGATATGAGTCAATAGGAACCCCTTCCTTATCTCCTGGTCATCTGCCTGGGGGGATCCTGGGAGCCGCGGCCCTATAGAATACATAAATCCTCAGCCAAAGTCAAGGGAAAGAAGGAGAAATACGACATTCTTTCTGTGCGGAACGGAGTGAGAATGAGCCGAGGAAAGGCTTCCGAAGCCAAGCCCAGCTGTTCTATGTGGGAGGCGAGCAGAGTCGGCAAGGCGCGTTGTGAAAGAGTCCTTTAAAACATATATATATATATGTATGTATGTATGTAATGTTCATTTGTGTTATTCACAGAACTCAAAAACCACTGGACAAATTGACACCAAATTTGGACACAAGACACCTAACAACTCAATGTATGTCCTTCACTCGAAAAAATTGATTTTGTCATTTGGGAGTTGTAGTTGCTGGGATTTATAGTTCGCCTACCATCACAGAGCATTCTGAACCCCACCAACTACAGAATTGGGTCAAACCTTCACACAGAACCCCCATGTGGGCCACAGCAACAGCAATGCCATCATCCAACAAAAAAATAACAAAGCCAGCAGTCCTGATGGGATCCCAGCTGAAATCTTTAAAGAGGGAGGACCTGAGCTGACACAACAACTTTGTGGGATTAACGTAACTCAAAAACCACTGGACCAATTGACACCAAATTTGGACACAAGACACCTAACAACACAATGTATGTCCTTCACTCGAAAAAATTGATTTTGTCATTTGGGAGTTGTAGTTGCTCGGATTTATAGTTCACCTACCATCAAAGAGCATTCTGAACTCCACCAATGATGGAATTGAACCAAACTTGGCACACAGTTCTCCCACGACCGACAGAAAACACTAGAAGGGTTTGGTGGGCAGTGTCCTTTGGTTTTGGAGTTGTAGTTCACCTACATCCAGAGAGCACTGTGGACTCAAACAATGATGGATCTGGACCAAACTCTACACAAATACTCAATATGCCCAAATGTGAATACTGGTGAAGTTTGGGGGAAATCGGATCGTGACATTTGGGAGTTGTAGTTGCTGGGATTTATAGTTCACCTACAATCACAGAGCATTCTGAACCCCCCAATGATAGAATTGGGCCAAACCTCCACACAGAACCCCCATGTGGGCCACAGCAACAGCAATGCCATCATCCAACAAAAAAATAACAAAGCCAGCAGACCTGATGGGATCCCAGCTGAAATCTTTAAAGAGGGAGGACCTGAGCTGACTCAACAACTTTGTGGGATTAACATAACTCAAAAACCACTGGACCAATTGACACCAAATTTGGACACAATGCACCTCTCAGGCCAACGAGTGACCGTCACTCATAAAAACACCGAAAAACACAGCGGAAGAGACTTTAAAAAACCAAAAAAAGCAAGAAGATGCTACAGCGCATGCGCAAAAACATACAAAGCACACAATTGCATATCCACACTCTCTTCTGGACTACAGCTCCCAGTATTCCCTAGACCAGGCCCTTTAGGAGAGGAGGAGGATCCAAGTGCACTGCTTCCATTGACATAAATAGGTAGGGAAATACGGGAAAGAGATGGGTGGGCCTGGAACCTCATCCGAAATAATATAATCCCACCAAAACACAGCAGAGAGATTAGGGAAGGCTGTCATTATCCCCTAAAAAGGGAGGAAGAAGCAACACAACTCGTCAACATCAGGAGGAGGGGGATCAAAAGACCCTAAAAAGGAGGGACAACTCACTCCGATTGGGGGGAAAAGCGACCTAAGAGACGCAACCAGTCGAGTCACATTAAGGGTCCGTAAACACTGGAATTCGGGGATGAAGGATTATTGGTATTGCTATTACGTTGATTTATACCCCGCTTTATCTCCCCCAAAGGGGACTCCTAAGGAAGGTATCGATTCACCGCAATCTGGGAGTGAAGGGCCCTGTAAAAAGACAACAAACCCATTGGAATTGGGTGGGAAATACAACTTGTTTATTGGGATACTGAGCCACAAACGTGTTGGGAGATTGGGAAGTCATAAATGCATTGGGATCGAGGTGGATAAAGGACTCTAAAAAGGGCAATAACACGTTGGATTCCAGGGACGGGATCAAGGACCCTAAGAAATATTACTACTACTACTACTATTGCTACTATGTTTATTTATATCAGTTGTTCCCAACTTTTCTTTGACCAGGGACCACTTTGACCAGGGACCACTTGACCAGGGATCACTTGACTAGGGACAACCTGGCCAGGGACTACTTTGACCAGGAACCACTTGAACAGGAACCTCTTGACCAGGGATCACTTTGACCAGGGACCACTTTGACCAGGGACTACATTGATCAGGGACCACTTGAACAGGGACCTCTTGACCAGGGATCACTTTGACCAGGGACCACTTGAACAGGGACCACTTGAACAGGGACCCCTTGACCAGGGATCCCTTTGACCAGAGATCACTTGATCAGGGGCCAATTTGACCGGGAGCCACTTTGACCAGGGACCAATTTGACCACGGACCACTTGAACAGGGACCAATTTGACCAGGGATCACTTTGACCAGAGAACACTCTCCAACATTAGTGCCAAAAGGGTCATGAATCAATTTTTGGTCAAATTTAGATTCGGTTTGGTTATTTGGGGTGCTGATTCAGAAAAACTGCATTGGATAGACCACAACAGCTCTAGTTTCAGATACCAAATATCTGTCATCCAGCAGTCTCCATCTGCTTGCCCACAGAAAAGCATATTTAATAATATTGAGCCACAAACCTTATTTTAGGTTTCACGGGCCATCAGTGGGCCGTGGCCTGTAGGTCGAGAAGCACAAGATTTAGACCCTGCTTTATCTCTCTCGAATGAGACTCAAAGTGACTATGTATCTATTATTATGTTTATTATTATGTTTATTTATACCCTATTTTCTCTCTCCTGAAGGGGATCCAGACTGACTATGTACCCATTATTATTAAATAATAATAATTATTATTAAATTATTATTATTATTATTATTATTATTATTATTATTATTATTATTAGACACATAACAAGATTAGTACACACCAAACAAGACCACTCTGCTGGCTTTTGTATCTGACCCCACATCGGACACTTCCCAAGTGTCCAGGACGGTGTGATGTATCGGCAAATAATACTTGCAGTTTATTATTATTATTATTATTATTATTATTATTATTATTATTATTATTATTGTGTTTTTTATTATTATTATTATTATTATTATTATTATTACTAGACATACAACAAGTTTAGTACACAGCAAACAAGATCACTGTGCTGGCGTTTGTATTTGATCCAATGTCGGACACTTCCCAAGTCTCTAGGATGGTGCAATGTATCAGCGAATAATGCATGCAGATTATTATTATTATTATTATTATTATTATTATTATTATTATTATTATTGTGTTTGTCTATACCCCAATTTGCCCCTCCCAAAGAGACTGCAGCAAGGTATCAAACTCCCTGGAATCAGAGAATAAGGACTATAAATAATGTTAATGGACTCAATGCTGCAAACAAAAGACGAGAATCAACTCACCGGAGACGGTCAACAACCAAAGGAGCGACACCATCCGAATCATGGTGCAATGGGTTGGGATGCAACAGCAGCAGGAGGAGAAATGAACCCAAAAGAAGAACCAAGGATTCCCAATTCACATGAGAGGCCAGCTCCTTTAGTGTGTCAAGTGGCAGAATGGGATGCGGCGCAGGTGATGGGACGGGGCCTCCATAGCCTTGGCCTTGAGACCCTTTTCCTCCGGCTCCGGCGGCGTCTGTTTCTCTCTCTCTCCGGCGTCCTGTTTGGAAACTCCGACAACCTGTTCTGTGCGCGTTTGCCAAAGGGAGGGGAACGCAGCACCGAGAGAGAGAAAGAGAATAATGTTAACCTGTTTGGCAAGTTTAAACAGGTGTTTCTCCCAAGGGGGGATGAGCGGCGGCGACAGAGGAGGAGGAGGAAGAGGATGATTTCGGGTAGAAAAGCCAAAGGGAGTTCACCAAAGGTGTCACACAGAGAGAGAGAGAGAGAGACAGAGAGAGAAATGAGGAAAGGTAGGCGCCTCAGGAGGGTCACCCCTTGGCCAAAACCCAAACAGGCACAAGTGTGGCCCAATGGATGGGATGGGGTACCATTCGGCCTCTATAGGCTGACCGTTGATGTTCTAGGCCCATGCATCCCTCCAGATGGGGCAGAACTACAACTCCCATCATCATCCAGGGTCAGTGGGAAACTACAACTCCCACTGCCCTCATCTGGATTCAGAAGAAGGCAAATGGTGGAACTACAACTCCCACTGCCCATATATAAGTTCAGAAGAAGGCAGATAGTGGAACTACAACTCCCACTGCCCACATCTAGGTTCAGAAGAAGGCAGGTGGTGGAACTACAACTCCTGTCATCCAGGGTCGGTGGGCAACTACAACTCCCATTGCCCACATCTAGGTTCAGAAGAAGGCAGGTGGTGGAACTACAACTCCCATCATCCAGTGTTGGTGGGAAACTACAACTCTCACTGCCCATATCTAGGTTCAGAAGAAGGCAGGTGGTGGAACTACAATTCCCACTGCCCTCATCTAGGTTCATAAGAAGGCAAGTGGTGAAACTACAACTCCTGTCATCCAGTGTCGGTGGGAAACTACAACTCCCACTGCCCACATCTAGGTTCAGAAGAAGGCAGGTGGTGGAACTTCAACTCCCATCATCCAGTGTCGGTGAGAAACTACAACTCCCACTGCTTGCATCTAGGTTCAGAAGAAGGCAGGTGGTGGAACTACAACTCCCGTCATCCAGGGTCGGTGAGAAACTACAACGCCCACTGCCCATATATAAGTTCAGAAGAAGACAGATGGTGGAACTACAACTCCCATTGCCCACATATAGGTTCAGAAGAAGGCAGGTGGTGGAACTACAACTCCCATCATCCAGTGTCGGTGGGAAACTACAATTCCCACTGGTCACATCTAGGTTCAGAAGAAGGCAGGTGGTGGAACTACAACTCCCGTCATCCAGGGTCGGTGGGAAACTACAACTCCCACAACCCACATATAGGTTCAGAAGAAGGCAGATGGTGAAACTACAACTCCCATTGCCCACATATAGTTCAGAAGAAGGCAGTTGGGTGGAACTACAACTTCCATTATCCACTTGTGGGTCAGATGAGCAAAACTACAATTCCCGTCACCCACTAGTAGAGTCGGATGGGGAACTGCGACTCTCCTTATCCACTTGTGGGGTTGGGAAACTAAAAATCCCATCATCCATTTGTCGGTTTAGGTGAAGTGGTGGAAACTACAAATCTCATCATCTATTTGTTTGTTTATAAGTTGGATGTTTGCAACTTGGGGTCATCTAGCCAAGCCCTGTTCTTAACTGCAAGTCATTTTGTAAGTCGAGTGTTTGTAACTCCGAGGAGGTCTTGTTTGGAGAAACCTGGGAGTGAAAACAAATTCCTTTTCCTTTGCATTCAAAGGCTTTGAAGCGGAAAATAGACGTCAAAACCGGGAGTCTCTCTCCCTCTGGCGGTCAATATTGGTTTGTGTGTGTGTGTTCTGCATTGGAATGCAGCACAACAGGTGTGCAAAGGTGCGCTCCTCCCTCCGGACACACCTGAGCCTCGGTCTGGATTGCTTGGTGCCATCCCAAGACTTTTGGCCGCCCGAGGCCCAGCAGCCACTGAATGGCAGCCCTCCTTTCCACCATATTTATATTCCACTAACATATTTATATTCCAATAATAATAATAATAATAATAATAATAATAATAATAATAATAAGCTTGGGTTCCCTGTGTTGCCCAGATTAAATAATAATAATAATAAAGTTATTATTATTATTATTATTATTATTATTATTATTATTAGCTTGGGTTCCCTGTGTTGCCTAGATTTAATAATAATAATAATAATAATAATAATAATATAATAATAATAATAATATTAGCTTGGGTTCCCTGTGTTGCCCAGATTTATTATTATTATTATTATTATTATTATTATTATTATTATTATTATTATTATTAGCTTGGGTTACCTGTGTTGCCCAGATTATTTGAGAAAGTCGATTTTTAATTGTACCAAATGCACAACGTTGTGGGTGAACTACAACTCACATCGTGCCAGGTTAACCCCCATAAACTCCATCAGTCCATAAAGTTTGTGATGTTGGGCAAGTTTGCTCTGGATGCATCATTGGTAGGGTTCTGTGTTCTCCTGTTACAGGGTGAACTACAACTCCCACTACAGTGAGTCAGTCCCCTCCAACCCCTCCAGGAGGTTGAGTTAGTCATAGGGGATCTTTCTGCCAAATTTGGTCCAGGTCCATTAATGGTGGAGGCCACTGTTTCTCTGGTTGTGGGTGAACTACAACTCCCAGAAAGGAAGGCCAGTTTTCCCCAAACCCCTTCAGTAATCCAATCTCAACGTATCAGGTCTGGGTGTCAAGTTTGGTCCAGATCCATCGTTGTTTGGGTTCACAGTCCCTTGATGTCAATAAGGAAACATATTGGCCAGTTTGAAACACGAAGAAGCAGTTGTGACAAAAGGATCGGTCAAGAAATAAGGAAATGCAGATCAGCACCAAATGTCAACACGGCTGAACTTTACTTAATATTGACTTCCCTTCCTCGGGGCATCTCTGAGATCCCTTTCCTTCCCCAAGCAATGCTTTCATTCCAATTTGAGAGGAGAAAGAAGAGGAAAGAAAAGGCCACAGTTGACCCACTGACTCAATGGGTGTTGACCACAGTTGACTAGCGTTGTCCCCTTAATCAATGGGTGTTGACTACAATTGATCCCCTGAATCAATGGTTGCTGACCACAGTTGACCCACTGAATCATTGAGTATTGACCATAGTTGACTACAGTTGACCCATTCAATCAATCGGTGTTGACTGCAGTTGATTTCAATTGACCCACTGAATCAATGGGTGTTGACTACAATTGATCCCCTGAATCACACAGTTGACCCACTGAATCATTGAGTATTGACCATAGTTGATGACAGTTGACCCATTCAATCAACTGTTGTTGACCACAGTTGACTACAGTTGACCCATTGAATCATTGAGTGTTGACCATAGTTGACTACAGTTGGCCCATTCAATCAATGGGTGTTGATGACAATTAATCCACTGAATCAATGGTTGTTGACTACAATTGACTACAGTTGATTCATTGAATCAATGGGTGTTGACCACAGTTGACTAACGTTGACCCCTGAATCAATGGGCGTTGACTACAATTGATCCCCTGAATCAATGGTTACTGACCAAAGTTGACCCACTGAGTCATTGAGTGTTGACCATAGTTGACTACAGATGACCCATTCAATCAATCGGTGTTAACCAGAGTTGATTACAATTGACCCACTGAATCAATGGGTGTTGACTACAGTTGTTCCTCCGAATCAATGGTTGTTGACCGCAGTTGACTACAGTTGACCCATTGAATCACTGAGTGTTCACCATAGTTGACTACAGTTGGCCCATTCAATCAATAGGTATTGATGACAATTAATCCACTGAATATATGGTTGCTGACTACAACTGACTACAGTTGTTCCCCTGAATCAATGGTTGTTGACTACAATTGACTATAGTTGATTCATTGAATCAATGGGTGTTGACCACAGTTCATTACAGTTGACACACTGAATCAATGGGTATTGAACACAGTTGACCCATGAATCAATGATTGTTGACCACAGTTGATGCACAATCAATGGGTTTTGACCACAGCTGACTACTTTGACCCACTGAATCAATTGGTGTTGGCCACAGCTGACCCACTGAATTATTAAGTGTTGACCATAGTTGACTACAGTTGACCCATTCAATCAATCGGTGTTGACCAGATTTGATTACAATTGACCCACTGAATCAATGGGTGTTGACTACACTTGTCCCCCCAAATCAATGGTTGTTGACTGCAGTTGACGACAGTTGACCCATTGAATCATTGAGTGTTCACCATAGTTGACTACAGTTGGCCCATTCAATCAATGGGTATTGATGACAATTAATCCACTGAATCAGTGGTTCTTGACTACAATTGACTACAGTTGATTCATTGAATCAATGGATGTTGACCACAGTTTATTACAGTTGACCCACTGAATCAATGAGTGTTGACCACAGTTGACCCATGAATCAATGATTGACCACAGTTGATGCACTGAATCAATGGGTTTTGACCACAGTTGACTACTTTGACCCACTGAATCAATTGGTGTTGACCACAGTTGACCCATGAATCAATGATTGTTGACCACAGTTGATGCACTGAATCAATGCGTTTTGACCACAGTTGACTACTGTTAACCCACTAATTCAATGGGTGTTGGCCATAGTTGACCCATTTAATCAATGGGTGTTGACCACAGGTGTCTACAGTTGACCCACTGAATCAATTGGTGTTGACCACAGTTGATTCACTGAATCTATTGATGTTTACCAGTTGACCCACTATAATAATAATAATAATAATAATAATAATAATTATTATTATTATTATTATTATTATTATTTATATCCTGCCCTATCTCCCCAAGGGGACTCATTATATGAATTACTGTTAACTACAACTGACTATAGTTGACCCCCTTAGCCAACGAATGCAGATTGGATGATGGATGTCAGGGATATCAACTCCAACTGATCCATTGAATTACTGAATGTTGAAAAGTTGACCTAACGAGTCTATCGACTATGAGTGCTCGTTGCAGCTGACTAGAGTTGACAATTAAATTGATGGATGTTGACATAATAATAATAATAATAATAATAATAATAATAATAATAATAATAGTTTGTTCATTTATTACCCATCTCTCCTTGTAGTTGGAGACAGGGGTCAAAGAACCAATGGGTCAGCCTGTCAACATCCATTGATTCAATGGGTCAACTGTTGACTATGATTGATTCAATTGTTGACTATAATCTATTTAATGGTTGACTGTAATTGATTCAACTGTTGGCTATAATCTATTCAAAAGCTGAATTGTTGATTATAATTGATTCAGCTGTTGACTATAATTAATTCAATTGGTCAATTGTTGAATACAATTGATTCAACTGTCAACTGTAAACAATTCAGTGGGTCAATTGTTGCTTATAATTAATTCAACTGTTGATTATAATCAATTCAGCTGCTGACTATAATCAAACCAATGGGTTAACTGTTGACTATAATCAATTCAACTGACAACTATTATTGATTCACTTGTCAACTGTCATCAATTCAAAGGGTCAGTTGTTGACTATAATCAATTCAACTGTCAACTATTATTGATCCAACTGTTGACTGTCATCAGTTCAATGGGTCAACTGATGACTATAATCAAACCAATGGGTCAACTGTTGACTATAATCAATTCAACTGTCAACTATTATTGATTCACCTGTCAACTGTCATCAATTCAATGGGTCAGTTGTTGACTATAATCAATTCAACTGTTGACTATAATCAATTCAACTGTTGACTATAATCAATTCAACTGTTGACTATAATCAATTCAACTGTCAACTATTATTGATTCAACTGTTGACTGTCATCAATTCAATGGGTCAACTGTTGACTATAATCAGCTCAACTGTTGACTATAATCAATTCAATGGGTCAACTGATGACTATAATCAAACCAATGGGTCAACTGTTGACTATAATCAATTCAACTGTTGACTATAATCAATTCAATGGGTCAACTGATGACTATAATCAAACCAATGGGTCAACTGTTGACTATAATAAATTCAGCTGTCAACTATTATTGATTCAGTTGTCGACTGTCATCAATTCAATGGGTCAATTGTAGACTATAATCAATTCAACTGTTGACTATAATCAATTCAATTGTCAACTACTATTGATTCAACTGTTGACTGTCATCAATTCAATGGGTCAACTGTTGACTATAATCAGTTCAACTGTTGACTATAATCAATTCAATGGGTCAACTGTTGGTTACAATTGTATTCAACTGTTGGCTATAATAGATTCAATGGGTCAACTATTATTAATTCAACTGCTGACTATAATCAATTCAATGGGTCAATTGCAGACTATAATAAATTCAACTGCTGACTATAAACAATTGAATGGGTCAACGGTTGGTTACAATTGGATTCAACTGTTGCCTATAATAGATTGAATGGGTCAACTGTTGACTATCATTGATCCATTAAATCAATTGTTATGAGTGATGGTTGTCCTATTAAATCAATGTTGGTCTGCCCTACTATAGTTGAGCCAATTGGTCTACTTGAGTTGGCCCTACCCAATGGGACCAAGACCATAACTCAAGGAAAGCTCCTCTCCCCAGGCCCCCCAATGTCACATCAGCAAAGATCTGGAGACGGTGTTGGTGGTGGTCTTCTCAAAAATCCCTGAAGGAGATGCAGAGGATGATGGGCGAGGATGGTGGTGGCAATGGGGGCTGTTAGGAAGCCCAGGACGACCAAGAAGCCAGAGAGGAGAGCGTTGGGCCAGTGGGCCAGGAGGAAGGCCGGGAGTCAGCCACTGGCCACATTGGAGGTCTCGGGGGACGTGTTCCGGGGCACGGCACAAATGTGGAAGATTCCTAAAGAGAGGAAGGAAGAAAGTGTCAGTGGGGGTGGTGGATGTCCACAAGACGTAGACACAAAGGTTGAGGTTGACACATCTCACCTGCAGAGATGGTGAGGATGACCGCGATCCAGCCCAGGATGTAGGACCAGGAGAAGCGCCACTGGGCGTAGCGCTTGGCGTAGAAGTTGACCGTCACGCCGGTGTACACCGAAATCCCCAGCAAAGCAAACAGACCTGGGAGGAAAGAATGAAAGACTGAGGCTAAAGCTTAGCTCGAATAGGAAAAGGACAACTGACCGGCAAGTTTAGTCCTACCGGCCAAGAGGAGTGCGACGCCCGCCGAACGGGTGCGGATTGAACGGACGGCGCCGGAGTAAGCGGTCAGGCCCAAGATGATCCCAGCGAAGGAGCAGATGACCGAGAGGATCATGAAGGCCCGCGTCGTGTCCCAGAAGGCTGCAGGAGGCAATCACCAATCAACTGATCAATCAATCTATCAATCAATCAGTCTCTGGCCCAATCCTGCAACTAAGTGACTTGTCCTGACTTGACCCCCGTTGGCTATTGGAATACCAGGATCCCGAAACTCCTTTGAAACTCTGAATCTGCCAGAAAATATATTATTAATTTATTAATAATACATTAATTTATTGATTGATTATTAATGAATTTATTTATTATTTTATTTTATTTATTAATAATAATTTATTAATAATAATTTAATAATTTATTAATAATTTATTAATTTATTAATAATAATTTATTAATTTATTAATAATAATTTATTAATTTATTAATAATAATTTATTAATTTATTAATAATAATTTATTAATTTATTAATAATAATTTATTAATTTATTATTAATAATTTATTAATTTATTATTATAGAGAAATGCTTTCCTTTCAGTTCTGGGATCTGGAAAAGCCTCATGGGAGAGCGTTGCCTCAGTCAGGTCAATGTTGCTATTTTATCACTGCTTTGCTTTCAAGTGCTCTGAGTTTCGTGTACCAAGTTTTTGCCAGGCTTAAGATTTGTCTATGAGATTTTTCGTGCTGCCTTGTTTCATGGATTCAAGTGGCCAGTTTCGTGGATTTTTATGCATTCGTGGATCTTGTTTTCCTTGGAAGCTTATGGACTATTTTGTATAATATAATATTGGTATAATATTTTTTATCTGGGGAGAAGGTAAAGAGAAATGCTTTCCTTTCAGTTCCGGGATCTGGAAAAGCCTTATATTGATTCATAGGAGAGCGTTGCCTCAGTCTGGTCAACGTTGCTATTTTATCACGGCTTTGCTTTTAAGTGCTCCGAGTTTCATGCACCAAGTTTTTGCCAAGCTTAAGATTTGTCTATGAGATTTTTCCTCCTGTCTTGCTTCATGGATTCAAGTGCCTAATTTCGTGGATTTTTATGCATTCGTGGATCTTGTTTTCCTTGGAAGCTTATGGACTGTTTTGTATCATATAATATTGGTATAATATTTTTTATCTGGGGAGAAGGTCAAGAGAAGTGCTTTCCTTTCAGTTCCGGGATCTAGAAAAGCCTTATACTGATTCATGGGAGAGAGTTGCCTCAGTCAGGTCAACGTTGCTATTTTATCACGGCTTTGCTTTCAAGTGCTCTGAGTTTCATGTACCAAGTTTTTGCCAAGGTTAAGATTTATCTATGAGATTTTCCTGCCATCTTGTTTCATGGATTCAAGTGCCTAGTTTTGTGGATTTTTATGCATTCGTGGATCTTGTTTTCCTTGAAAGCTTATGAACTATTTTGTATAATATAATATTGGTATAATATTTTTTATCTGTTGGGAAGGTCAAGAGAAATGCTTTCCTTTCAGTTCCGGGATCTCGAAAAGCCTTATATTGATTCATGGGAGAGAGTTGCCTCAGTCGGGTCAATGTTGCTATTTTATCACGGCTTTGGTTTCAAGTAATATTTTTTTATATAAAATATAAACTTCCATAAACTTCCGTACCGAGGGTGATGGTGTGCGGGTGGCACTTGCTCCCCACGCAGAAGCGCCACAGGCCCTGGTTGCAGAGGCTCCCCGAGTAGCGGTACTGGATCCAGAAGTCGGTGGCGGTGGCCACGATGAGGAGGACCAGCCCTGAGGCGGCGCAGAGGAGTCCGCCCCCCATCAGTCCCAGCATCACGGACCCGGCGCCAGAGGAGGAAAGAGGTTCCGGAGGGGGGCCCTCCTCCTGAAGCAGGACCAGCGGGGACGGCCCGTCCTGCGAAGAAGGGAACGAGACACGGAAAAGGGAGGGAAGAGAACAGAAACGCATCTCCAGTCCAGCAAGATTCATCCTCCAGTTGTTTCAGGATAACAACTCCCATTGTCCACTTGTAGGTTCGGGTGCGGAACTACGATTCCCATCATCTGCTCATAGGGGTTGGGTGGGAAACTACAACTCCCATTGTCTACTTGGGGAACGATAACTATAGCTGTTCATGGGGGTTGGGTGGGGAACTACAACTCCCATCAATCGCTCACATGGTTGCATGAGAAACCACAACTCCCGTCATCCACTTGTAGGGTCAAATGGGAGAGCTACCATTCCTATCATCCACTCATTGGATTCGGATGGGGGAACTACAACTCCGATCACCCACATATAGAGTCAGATCGGGACCCACAACTCCCATCATCCACTTGTAGTGGTCAGATAGGGGAACTGCAACTCCCATTACCCACTTGCAGGGTTGTCCCGGGAAAAACTGAAACTCCCAACATCCACTTGTAGGGTTGGGTGGAGAACTCCCACCATCCACTTGTAGGGTCAGGTAGGGAACTGCAACTCCCACCATCCACTTGTAGGGTTGAGTGGAGAACTGCAACTCCCACTTGTAGGGTCAGGTAGGGAACTGCCTCCCACCATCCACTTGTAGGGTTGGGTGGAGAACTCCCACCATACACTTGTAGGGTCAGGTAGGGAACTGCAACTCCCATCTTCCACTTGTAGGGTTGTGTGGAGAACTGCAACTCCCAATTGTAGGGTCAGGTAGGGAACTGCAACTCCCATCATTCACTTGTAGGGTCAGCTAGGGAACTGCAACTCCCATCTTCCACTTGTAAGGTTGAGTGGGGCAACTATAACTTCCATCACCCACTTGTGGGGGCGTGTCAGATGGGGAACTACAACTCCCACCATACACTCATAGGGTCTGGTGTGGAATTACAACTCCCTTCAGCCACTCATAGGGTTGGATAGGGGAACTACAACTCCCATCGCACACTCATAGGGTCGGATGGGGAATTACAACCGCACATATCCACTTGTGCGGTGGGGAATGACAACTCCCATCACCCACAGTTTTGACTCATGGGGATGATGGGAGATGTAGTCCACAAAGATCAGGACTTTTGCCTGTCTCATTATAACGATAATATGGAAAAAATAATATAGAATAATAATAATATAGAAGAATATAGAAAATAATATAATAAAAATAATATAGAAGAATAATATAGAAGAATATTAATATAGAATAATAATAATATAGAAGAATGATATAGAAAAAATAATATAGAATAATAATATAGAATAATAAAAATATAGAATAATAATATAAAAGAATAATATAGAAGAATAATATAGAAGAAGAATATAGAAAAAATAATATAGAAGAATATTAATATAGAATAATGATAATATAGAAGAATAATATAGAAAATAATATAGAAGAAGAATATAGAAGAATATAGAAAATAATATAGAAAAAATAATATAGAAGAATATTAATATAGAATAATGATAATATAGAAAAATAATATAGAATAATAAAAATATAGAATAATAAAATATAGAATAATAATAATATAGAATAATAATATAGAATTATGATAATATAGAAAAATAATATTGAAAATAATATAGACTAATAAGGATATAGAAAAATAATATAGAAAAATAATATAGAATAATAATAATATAGAATATTAATATAGAATAATGATAATATAGAAGAATAATATAGAAGAATATAGAAGAAGAATAATATAGAAGAATATTAATATAGAAAAAATAGAATAAATATATAGAAGAATAATATAGAATAATGATAATATAGAAAAGTAATATAGAATAATAAAATAAATAATAATAATATAGAATAATGATAATGTAGAAAAATAATATGGAAAAAATAATATAGAATAATATTAATATAGAATAATAATATAGAATAATAATATAGAAAATTATATAGAATAATAATATAGAATAATGATAATATAGAAAAATAATATAGAAAAAATAATATAGGAGAATAATATAGAATAATACTACTACTAATAATAATTCATCCACACTACTTTGACCACTCCATTGTATGTAATGGGACTTTTAGCATCAGTGGATACTGCAATTTGAAAAAAAAATATTATATTTGGGGCAAAAAAATAATAAAGCGACCTGCTTACCTTCAGCAGCTCGGCCGTTTTGGCGACGCGCTTACCCGAGAAGGAAAGCCATGTGTTTGGACGCGGACGAAAAATGTGCCTTTTCTTCCTCTCTTTGAACGCACAAAGAGCCAACGCCGGGCCAAAGCGGGGTTTTTATAGCGGTCATTGTCCGGCGGGTGACCACCCAAACAATGGGGAGGAAGCCTCTCGTTCTCGCTCGTCAATGAAAATAATTGCTATTATTTTTTTGCTGACGCCGAGCCTTCGAAAGTTTGGGAACCCTTTTCTCTTCCGTGGAGAATGGTCCAGTGACCTTTCTGACCCCGGGCGGACACGAGCCGAGATCCACTCCCCCCCCCCCTTTAATGGACAGAATAATATTTATTTATCGTGACAGGCAACCGAACAGTTGTATTACAGTCTTCTGTGTGCCCAGGGGGGAGTCTCTCATTGGGTATCAGCTATGGATTTGAATCTGCCACTTTTGGACTCTTGCTTGCTGAGGTGTTCCAGCGAGTGTCTCTGTACATCTTAGAAAACTATTTCTTGATTTAAGTCATTGACGTGCTGGCTGATACCCAAACAGGGGATGAGCTGGAGATGTCACTGCCTTGGTCCTTTCACTATTGGCTGCTACTCCCCGGCGGATGTCAGGTGGGGCAATACCGGCTAAACCGTATAATTTCTCCAGATATCCCGTGATAATGCGGCATGTCTCATTAAAAGCCACACCCACTGTTTTAGTGTGGTGAGATGTGTTCCACACTGGGTGTGCATACTCACTGTGCAAGGGCAGATGTCTTCACTGTGTCTGGTTGTGATCCCCAGGTTGTGCCAGTCAGCTTTCGTATGATATTGTTTCTAGAGCCCACTTTTTGCTTGATTATTCAGGCAGTGCTTCTTGTAGGTCAGAGAGCGGTCCAGAGTGACTCCCAGGTGTTTCGGTGCGCTGCAATGCTCCAGTGGGGTTCCTTCCCAGGTCATAATCCTCAGAGCTCAGGATGCTTCTCTGTTCTTGAGATGAAAAACACATGTCTGTGTTTTAGATGAATTAGGGATCAGTTGGTTTCCCCTGTAACAGGCAGTAAGAGCACCTAGAGCTTCGGGGAACTTCTGTTCTACCATCTCAAAGCTCCCTGCTTGAGCGGTGATGGCACGATCAACAGCATAGATGAATCTCTCTGTCCCTTCTGGCAGTGGCTGGTCATTTGTGTAGATGTTGAACATGGATGGAGCGAGCACGCTCCCCTGTGGCAGGCCGTTCTGTTTCTGCCATCTGCTTCTCTGGCCCTGGAACTCAACAAAAAAGCTCCTGTTCTGAAGCTGATTTCCTTGAGTGGTGATGGCACAATCGTCAGCATAGATGAAACTCTCTGTCCCTCATTGCTGGTCATTGGAGCCCCCGGTGGTGCAGTGGGTTAAAGCTCTGTGCCGGGAGGACTGAAGACCAACAGGTCACAGGTTCGAATCTGGGGAGAGGCGGATGAGCTCCCTCTATCAGCTCCAGCTCCTCATGCGGGGACATGAGAGAAGCCTACAAGGATGGTAAAAACATCAAATCATCTGGGCGTCCCCTGGGCAACGTCCTTGCAGACAGCCAATTCTCTCACAACATGAGCGACTTGCAGTTTCTCAGGTCGCTCCTCACACGACAAAAAAAATTGCTGGTCATTTGTGTAGATGTTGAACATGGATGGAGCAAGCACACTCCCCTGAGGCAGGCCGTTCTTCTGTTTCCGCCATCTGCTTCTTTGACCCTGGAACTCAACAAAAAAGCTCCTGTTTGGTAGCTGATTTCCTTGAGTGGTGATGGCACAATCGTCAGCATAGATGAAACTCTCTGTCCCTCATCGCTGGTCATTTCTGTAAATGTTGAACATGGATGGAGCAAGCACGCTCCCCTGAGGCAGGACGTTCTTCTGTTTCCGCCATCTGCTTCTTTGACCCTGGAACTCAACAAAAAAGCTCCCGTTCTGTAGCTGATTTCCTTGAGTGGTGATGGCACAGTCGTCAGCATAGATGAAACTCTCTGTCCCTTATTGCTTGTCATTTGTGTAGATGTTGAACATGGATGGAACAAGCACACTTCCCTGAGGCAGGCCATTCTTCTGTTTCCGCCATCTGCTTCTCTGGCCCTGGAACTCAACAAAAAAGCTCCTGTTTTGTAGCAGGTTTCCTATGAGGCGGGTGAGGTGGTCATCCTTTGTGATACTAGACATTCTTCTCAGGAAGAGGCGGTAGATCATGGGTTAGGGATCAGGCAGCAGATGGCAATGATGAAAAGCAGTGGGGACAACGAGTCTCCCTGGAAAATTCCTCTCCTGATGTTGACAAGTCCATCGTTTTCATTTCCAACCAACAATTCAGTTTTCCAGTGCTTCATCATATTTTCAATGTTTTTACAAATCCCGATGGTGTCTAGGCACTTGATGATCCAACTGTGTGGGATGCCACCTTGCGGTGGTGGGGGGCTTAACTGCTCCAAGGACGCTGAGAGCTGTGCTGGTGGTACTATAACTCCCAGCAGGTCCAACCAAGCCAGAGAGGTCTCAGCTGAGGAGTGGAACCAAGAGCACCTCACCTATTAGCACTATGGAGAAACAAATCAAAACGGAGCCGAGGTTTGTTTTATTATTATCATGCTTTTCTCTTGAGAACAAAGAATCTCCTCTAAAAATATTCAGGATGAGATTTTGGAATATTTGCATCTATATTATGAGATATCTTAGAGACAGAACAAATATATGTGCTTATATATGTATACATACATACACACACACACATATATACATTACACACACACACACACACACACGTACACGTTTTGGAGATGGGGCCAAATCCAACAGATAAAACAAATTGACAATTCTCATTTTTCAGATTTTTTAAACACCCCTAAGGCACAAAAAAGAAGTAACTCGTTCATTATGTAAAAGAGCTTGCATTTAAATTTATTTAGGAAATACAGTGGGGAATGTTGTGAGAGAAGAAGCCAATAGTTGACTTTGGAACAAAAACGAGATGAGAGTCCTAAAGAAGTCAGTTCGGTTGAGGAGTCCAACCTCAATCCTCCAAATTGCGGAAGGCATTCTGCATTTCCTCGTTTAGCTGGGCATAATGAGCTTTGATCTTGGCCTCACCGTCCTTCGTCGGATCCTAAAGGGAAAAAGACTAATGAACAATGCTGTACATGGATGACCTGAAGCTGTATGGGAAAAGCGAAACCGAAACCCAGTCTCTGACTAACACTGTCCGAATCTTTAGCATGGATATCAAAATATCGTATATGACAGTAACAGACAATATCAACCACGTATACGAGAGCAATGGACAAGGGAGATATAGGGTTTCATAGCTCCAAAATATCATCCCAAGTATTGATAAGCAACAGATAAGAGTTGATTACAGAGAGATATAGCTCCAACTCGCCGTCCTTCATTGGATCCTGAGGGAAAAGACTAATGAGTGAGAAGGATCAGGAATCGAAATATCGTCTACATATACGACGACAGACAGGAGAGATACAGAGCTTCATAGCTTCAAATATTGTCCCAAATATTGATAAGCAATATCAATTGATTAGAGAGAGATGTAGCTCCAACTCCCCATCTTTGGTTACAGAGAGATATAGCTCCAACTCGCCGTCCTTCATTGGATCCTGAGGGAAAAGACTAATGAGTGAGAGGGATCAGGAATCGAAATATCGTCTACATATACAACAACAGGCAGGAGCGATATAGAGCTTCATAGCTTCAAATATTGTCCCAAGTATTGATAAGCAATATCAATTGATTAGAGAGATATATAGCTCCAACTCCCCATATTTGGTTGGATCCTAAGGGTAAAGACCAATGAGTGAGAGGAGATGACCATCAAACTATCGTCCACATATATGACAGTAACAGACAGGAAAAACACAGGATTCATAGCTCCAAATATTGTCCCAAGTCTTGATAAGCAATTGATTAGAAAGGAATACAAGTTGGGTGGCTCCAGGTATTGATAAGAGGTAGATAGGAGCAAATAGAGGAGAGATATAGATCAAGAGAATATTTTATCTGGAAATATGAATTCCTCCCAAATCAGTGTTGTGATACGTGGGTTCTGAGCGTTGTAGTCCAAACGTTCCCCAAGCTCTAATTGTGTCCCTCCACAAGGCCCTTTTTGGGTGGATTCTGGGAGTTGTAGTCCAATATAATAATAATAATAATAATAATAATAATAATAATAATAATAATAATAATAATTTATTTCTTACCCGCCTCTCCTCATGGGTCGAGGTGGGTCACTGCATTCCCAACACAACCGCTTTCCTAAGCTCAGCTTCTGTCCCTCCCCATCGCTGAGTGGATTCTGGGAGTTATAGTCCACCTCACCTGGAACTTCATGGCGCTCAGCTTGTACATGATGTTGGCCAGGTTCTCCCGGATGATGGACCAGGTGATCTTGTGCTCTGATTGGGCGGTGGACTCCACAGCGTGGCGGGCCAATTCGTAGAAGGAGATCATGTTCTGGAGCATCCCCACTGTCTTGTAGAACGGGCAGAACCTGGAAGGAGGACAGGGTTGTTTACGATTCTTGAAACCCTGCTTGATCCATTGGACAACCTATTGGATGAGTCACAGGCTCTCAGACCAAGAATCTCAGGACTTTGTCCAGATGCAAACTGGGCAATAAAACCAGTGTATTTTCTCATATATAGACAGTCCCCGAGTTACAAACAACCAACTTACAAATGACTCCTAGTTAAGAACAGGACTGAGACCACAGAAAGTGAAAAGGATCTTACATTATATATTGTTAGTAGTATATTATTATTATTATTATTATTATTATTATTAGGATTATTAAATTATTATTTTATAGACATACACAGGCAGTCCCTGAGTCACAAACATCCGACTTGCAAACGACTCATAGTTAAGAACAGGGCTGAGATCACAGAAAGTAAACAGAATTATTAGTATTAGCATTTTAATATTATTATAATATCATATATTATTAGTATTATTACAATACACACACACATATACACATATACATACATGCATACACACAGGTAGTCTCCAACTTAGAAATATTTGACTTGCAAACAACTCCTAGTTAAGAACGTAGCGGATGAACCAACAGGAAGTGAGGATAATATTTTCTGTAAGAAGTCATCCTTGATCAGTTTGGCCACTTTGAGGAGGTGGAGGAGGAGGTGGAGGAGGGGAAGGAGGTGGTGGTGGTGGAGGAGGAGGTGGTGGAGGACAAGGTGGAGGAGGAGGTGAGGAGGAGGAAGAGGAGGTGGAGGAGGAGGTGGAGGAGGAGGATGGAGGTGGTGGAGGAGGAGGAGGTGGAGGAGGAGGTGATGGTGGTGGAGGAGGAGGTGGTGGAGAAGGAGGTGGTGGAGGAGGTGATGGAGGAGGAGGAGGTGGAGGAGGAGGAGGTGGAAGTGGAGGAGGAGGAGGTGGAGGAGGAGGATGAGGAGGTGGTGGTGGTGGTGGTGGAGGAGGTGGTAGAGGAGGAGGGAGGAGGAGGTGGAGGAGGAGGTGAAGGGGGGAGAGGAGGTGGTGGAGGAGGTGGTTGGGAAGGACGGCGGCGGTCATGGCGGCGCGGAGTAGGTAGGTGGTGGAGGATGAGGCTGTAGGGGCGGCGGCGGTGAGGAGGCAAAAGGAAGACAAGTATGAAGAGGAAATCAAAGTCCTGACTGACAAACTGAAAGAGGTGAGGAAAGCCTTCCCTACTGGTGGTGGCGGCGGTGGCGGTGGCGGTGGTGGTGGTGGCGGTGGCGGTGGTGGCGGTGGTGGTGGCAGCGGCGGTGGTGGCGGTGGTCGTGGTGGTGGCAGCGGCGGCGGTGGTGGTGGCGGAGGTCGTGGCAGTGGTGGCGGTGGCGGCGGCGGTGGTGGCAATATTCGTGGCGGTGGCGGCGGCGGCGGCGGTGGCGGTGGCGGTGGCGGCGGCGGTGGGGGTGGTAGCGGGGGTTGTGGTGGTGGTCGTGGCGGTGGTCGTGGCTGGTGGTGGCGGCGGTGGTGGCGGCGGTGGTGGCGGCGGTGGTGGAGGCGGCGGTGAGGAGGGGAAGGTGGTGGTGGAGGAGGTGGTGGGGGGGGGGGTGAGGAGGTGGAGGTGGAGGAGGAGGAGGTGGAGGAAGAGGAGGAGGAGGTGTTGGAGGAGGAGGTGGTGGTGGAGGAGGAGGAGGTGATGGAGGAGGTGGTGGTGGAAGAGGAGGTGGAGGAGCGGAAGGTGGTGGTGGAGGAGGAGGAGGAGGTGGAGGAAGAGGAGGAGGTGGTGGTGGAGGAGGAGGAGGTGGAGGAGGGGAAGGTCGTGGTGGAGGAGATGGTGGTGGAGGAGGTGGTGGTGGAGGAGGAGGATGTGGAGGTGCAGGAGGAGGAGGTGGTGGAGGAGGAAGACGAGGAGGAGGAGGTGGAGGAGGAGGAGGTGATGGAGGACTCTGGAACACCCTCCCCAAAGATCTTAGACAGGACCTTACATTGGCAGTCTTCAGAAAGAACCTGACGACCTGGTGTTCCGATGTGCCTTCCCAGATTAGGAAATCTCCAATACCAAGTCCCATAAGCACTTTACTAGAATTAATGATTGCTGCACACCGCACACTGCACTTGCCCTATAAGCCTCATATATACCACCTGTCACATCAGCACTTTTAATCTTGTATCGAGTCCTTCGGGAGATGCTAGCGGGGTACAAATAAAGTTTAATCATAATAATAATAATAATAATAATAATAATAATAATAATAATAATAAGGTGGTGGTGAAGGAGGAGAAGGTGGAGAAGGAGGAGGAAGAGGTGGTAGTGGAGGAGGAGGAGGAGGTGGAGGGGGAGAGAAAGGAAGGAAGGAAGGAAGGAAGGAAGGAAGGCAATCACCGGTCATAGGAGGAGTAGCCATTTTGCTGCAAGAAGTCATCTTTGATGAGTTTGGCCACTTCGAGAGTGATTTTGTCCGTCTCGGCAAGTGAGGCCTGCATTGGGGAAAAAAAAAAAACAAAGCCAGGAAACGGTGTAGAGTTAATGGGTTTTGACCCAGACGGAGGCGTTATAAATTTATTTATTATTTATTTAAAACATTTATATTCCGCCCTTTTGATCCCAACATGTTTACAGAGTCAGAGACAACGATTCTTTACATTAAGGAAGTGAACACTATGGTTCCTGACTTAAGAAGGAAAACGGACAGCTTGTTTTAGTTGAAAAGCAAGCTGTCAGTCATTTACAACTTCTCGAACAATAGCAGCGAAAAAACCAATGAGAACTGCTGACCCGTGGTTGAAAACAACATGTTTACATAGCCAGAGACAATGATTCTTTACATTAAGGAAGTGAACACTATGATTCCTGACTTAAGAAGGAAAACGGACAGCTTGTTTTAGTTGAAAAACAATAACAGCGAAAAAATTGCCATTTAAGAGACCTTCTTACATTCCAAAAGTGTGGCAGATCTGCAGGAATGCAGGGTGTGTGCACCAGCCTCTATCTCTAAGGGACGGAGAAAGAAGCAGATTTGCATGGAATGCAGTCTAGCCCACCTTCAGTTCTCTTCTCCAGGAGCGGGAAGAAAGGATGGTAATATATGCATGCGGCGTGAATGTTTATGTATATGTGAACGCTATAGCTAGAGTCTGTGTGTCAACTTCTTTCTCCGCAAAGTGCCTGATATATTCCATCTCACTGGAAACAGAATAGAAGAACATTTGGGCAAAGTCCTGGAACGTGTGGTGGCCTCGCAACTCCAGAAGTTACTGGTAGACACGGATTATCTAGCTCCGGCGCAGTCTGACTTTAGGCAGGGACATGGTACCGAGATAGCCTTGGTCGCCTTAGTGGATGATCTTCGCCGGGAACTGGACAGGGGGAGTGTGTCCCTGTTGGTTCTGCTGGACCTCTCTTCGGCCTTCGATACCGTCGACCACGTTATCCTTCTGGGACGCCTCGCGGGAATGGGCTTCGGGGGTACTGCTTTGCAGGGGCTCCAGTCCTTTCTCGTGGGGCGATCCCAGAAGGTGTCGCTAGGGGACTCCTGCTCAACCCCACAACCATTGTACTGTGGAGTCCCACAGGGTTCAGTTTTGTCCCCTATGTTGTTTAACATATACATGAAGCCGTTGGGAGAGATCATCCGGAGTTTCGGGGTGCGGTGTCATCTGTACGCAGATGATGTCCAACTCTGTTATTCCTTTCCACCTGCTACTAAGGAGGCTGTTCAAGTCCTGAACCGGTGTTTGGCCGCTGTGACGGACTGGATGAGGGACAACAGATTGAAACTTAATCCAGACAAGACAGAGGTCCTCCTGGTCAGTTGAAAGGTCGAACAGGGCATAGGGTCACACCCTGTGCTGGATGGGGTTCCACTCCCCCTTAAGACTCAGGTTTGCAGCTTGGGAGTGATCCTGGACTCATCGCTGAGCCTGGAACCCCAGGATTCGGCGGTGGTCAGGGGAGCTTTTGCACAATTAAAACTCGTGCACCAGCTGCGCCCCTACCTTGGGAAGTCTGGCTTGGCCACGGTGGTCCACGCTTTGGTTACATCCCGTTTAGATTACTGCAACACTCTCTACGTGGGGTTGCCTCTGAAGACTGCCCGGAAGCTTCAATTAGTCCAACGTGCGGCAGCCAGACTACTAACGGGAGCGGGGTACAGGGAGCATACTGCTCCTCTGTTGCGCCAACTCCACTGGCTGCCAGTCAGCTTCCGAGCACAATTCAAAGTGCTGGTCTTAACCTAAAAAGCCCTAAACAACTCCGGCCCAATTTCCCTGTCCGAACGTATCCTCCCCTATGAGCCATCAAGATTGCTAAGATCATCTGGAGGGGCCCTGCTCTCGATCCCACCAGACTCACAGGCGCGGCTGGTGGGGACGAGAGACAGGGCCTTCTCGGTGGTGGCCCCTCGACTCTGGAGCTCCCTTCCACTGGAGATCAGAACTGCCTCTTCGATCTTAACGTTCAGGAAACAGGTGAAAACCTGGCTTTGGGGATTGGCATTCGACGAACGAGCCATGATCCTGTGACATGGATGGATGACAACGAAGAATGATTTTTGATGACGACTGACCACTGTAATTAGATGATTGTATTTTGCTATTTTAATGTTTTAGTGTGATCTAGAATATGATGTTTTAATGACTGTCTGTAATATTGATGTTGGAAACTGGCCTGAGTCCCTTGAATACAAAACTGCTAAATAAATAAATAATTTTTTAGGGTTCAAAAAGTATTCATGGCAGAGGCGTGACAGGAAAGCGACGGACGCACCTTTCCGACCAGCTGGACAATCTCGGCCAGGTCCTCCTCCTCCTGGAGGATCTCCTTGGCCTTGGTCCGGAGGGAGACGAATTCGGGGTAGTGCCGCTCATAGTGCTCGTCCAAAGCCCGCATGTATTTGCTGTAGCTGATCAGCCAGTTGACGGACGGGAAGTGCTTCCGCTGGGCCAGCTTCTTGTCCAGACCCCAAAAGACCTAGAGGTCAGGGAGGGAAAAAGCCATCCAAACCATCATCCCCGTTTTGGAGACACAATCTCCCATGTTAAATGGAAATACTGTTTGATGGACATTGAACGCACATACAAAAATTAACCATGACAACAACTAGAATGAAATAAAATATTAAATACTACTAAATGACAGAGAGTGCTGATTCCTTGTATTGTAAAGGTAAGTGAACACTGGTTGGGTAGAAAGGAGGACTATGTAGTTGATGAGAGGTTAAGATATGCAGGAAACTAGAAGAGGGGAGAGAGAGAGAGAGAAGGAATCAGCCTCCACAACCACAAAATATCAACATAAACACATTATTGGGGGACATGAGAGAAGCCTCCTCGCAGGAGGGAACAAATCAAGAACTTTGGTCCAAAAGCAAGGCGCTGGCTGCTGGAGCTGATGAACAACTGCACGGCATCCTGTCAGATCCCCAAAATCTGGAGGAAAGCAAGAGTCATCGCCATCTTGAAGCCAGGCAAAGACCACAATGACCCAAAAAACTACAGACCAATCTCCCTGTTGTGCCACCTCTACAAAGTTCTGGAGAGACTTATTTTGCATAGAATTACGGAAAAAATAGACCCATGTCTGATCCCACAGCAAGCTGGCTTCAGGAAAGGCAGAAGCTGCACATCGCAAGTGCTGAACCTGACTCAGCACATAGAAGATGGCTTTGAAAGGCAGCAGATCACAGGAGCTGTTTTCATAGACCTGTCAGCAGCCTAGGAGCTAATTGCACCTCCTGAGAAAAATGTATAATATCACCAAGGACGACCACCTCACCCGCCTCATAGGAAACCTGCTACCAAACAGGAGCTTCTTTGTTGAGTTCCAGGGCCAGAGAAGCAGATGGCGGAAACAGAAGAACGGCCTGCCTCAGGGGAGCGTGCTTGCTCCATCCATGTTCAACATCTACACAAATGACCAGCCACTGCCAGAAGGGACAGAGAGTTTCATCTACGCTGATGATCGTGCCATCACCGCTCAAGCAGGGAGCTTTGAGATGGTTGAACAGAAGCTCTCCGAAGCTCTAGGTGCTCTTACTGCCTATTACAGGGAAAACCAGCTGATCCCTAATCCATCTAAAACACAGACATGTGCCTTTCACTTAAGAACAGACAAGCATCCCGAGCTCTGAGGATTACCTGGGAAGGAATCCCACTGGAGCATTGCAGCGCACCCAAATACCTGGGAGTCACTCTGGACCGTGCTCTGACCTACAAGAAGCACTGCCTGAACATCAAGCAAAAAGTGGGCGCTAGAAACAATATCATACGAAAGCTGACTGGCACAACCTGGGGATCACAACCAGACACAGTGAAGACATCTGCCCTTGCGCTGTGCTACTCTGCTGCTGAGTATGCATGCCCAGTGTGGAACACATCTCACCACGCTAAAACTGGATGTGGCTCTTAATGAGACATGCCGCATTATCATGGGGTGTCTGCGCCCTACACCACTGGAGAAATTACACTGCTTAGCTGGTATTGCACCACCTGACATCCGCCGGGAAGTAGCAGCCAATAGTGAAAGGACCAAGGCAGAGACATCTCCAGCTCATCCCCTGTTTGGGTATCAGCCAGCACGTCAACGACTTAAATCAAGAAATAGTTTTCTAAGATCTACAGAGACACTCGCTGGAACACCCCAGCAAGCGAGAGTCCAAAAGTGGCAGGCTCAAACCCAGAACCTCAACCAATGGCTGATATCAAATGAGAGACTCCCCCCTGGGCACACAGAAGACTTGGAAGGCGCTGAACAGACTGCGCTCTGGCACCACGAGATGCAGAGCCAACCTCAAGAAATGGGGCCACAAAGTGGAATCCTCGACATGCGAGTGTGGAGAAGAGCAAACTACAGACCACCTGTATGCTACTATCTGATTACTCTGATTGTTTACTAGTACATCATCATCCTTATATGAGGAGAATGAAAGCATCCACCTTTCTCTCTCCTGTGTGACTCAGTGTGAGTATCTGCCTATGTTGTATGTCACTATCTGATGAGGACACATGCTATCCAGAGTACAGCGGCTCAGGGAGGAGTTTGTGATTTGGAAACCATAAATCATTTCATGTACCAGCACATCCCGCAACATCCTACTCATCCCATTTTCTCCCCTGCTCTTAAAACTCACCTGGACGATTCCCAATGTCGCCGAAGTAACCGGGTCTGAAAAGTCTCCTCCCGGAGGGGACACCCTGAAGGGGTCAAAGGGAAAGAAGGTGAACTATAAGTCCCACCAAAAAGGTGATTCAAACAGGCATAAACTCTCCCCATGTCTCGAGTCTCGATCCAAACTTTACACTGTAGAACTGATGCACTTTGCCTGCTACGGAACCCAGGGGTGGCTCAACCCTTATGCAAAGTAAGCCGTCGCGGTAGAGTTGATTTTGCCTAGGGGCGCTCTTGAGGCGGTCTTGGGGGAAAATAGACCTTGACATATGCGAGTTGTAGTTACTGGGATGTATAGTTCACCTACTGTTGGGGTTCAGCCTGGGTGTGAACCTGAACCTGATTCTCTGATTGTATTTCCTGATGCTACTGAAAATGTATTTTTCCCTGATGGTAATGAAAATGTTGATTCTGAGGTCAGTGTAGAAGAAACTCCTGCGGGCTTGGAAAGTGAAACTACACATTCTGATGAGCATGTGTCAGAGCCAAGCGGTGATAGCTCTCCAGAACAGCTAACACCTGGGATCCTTAATGAGGATAGAAAAGGACAGATTTGGAGAAACAGGAGTGAATCGCAGAGTCTGCGAAGGTCAACCAGATTAAGACAAAAAGAAACACAGGCTTCAAAGCCTGGAGGCGTGTCACGAAACAGTTTCTTCGACTTTAAGTGCCTCTTGCCGGGTTCACTCGTTAGATCAGGCATCGTTTAGACTGAGGCATTACCTTGGCAGATTTCCCATTTCCCGTGGCCTACATCCCAAGAGGCTTCTAGTGCTCCAAGTACGGTTAGTGGATTGCTAACAGGTTCCGGGTTTTTACAGTGTTGCTTTTGGTTTTTGATCTAGTTCATGGATATTCCTGACTGCTGAATTTTACTATGGCTTTTTGACTTTGCATTTTCCTCTATTTTGTAACCATTTTTCATCAATAAAAAGGGATTGTTTTTTCCCATAGTCAAGTGTGGTGGATTGTTATCTTAGGGTCTCGTTTCCTGCTCTGGGGTGCAACACCTACAATCAAAGAGCATTCTGAACTCCACCAATGATGGAACTGAACCAAATATGGCACACAGAACTCCCACAACGAACAGAAAATATATATAAGTGATTGGTTGGTGGCGCACAAAATACTGTTTGCTTACCGTTGAAAATTACCTAGGGCCACATCTGATGGAACCTCAGGGAACTATAGTTTTGCAAGGCTCACAGCCTTCCATGGGTGCATCTAGAATGAATGGAGTCTGGCCCATTTTTGACCGTCACGGCTCAATGTGACGTGAATTCTAGGAGCTGTAGTTTTATAAGGTATATATAGCCATCTCTTTTGGAAATTGCAACCTTCTAAAGCCTTCACTAGTTATTTGTTATGTATATAATTGCTTACTGTAGTGTATGTGTGTGTTGGTTTGCTATTTTACCTAACCTTTTTGTTGTGGGAGGGGCTGTAGACTATGTGATCAGAACTGGGCATGTTCAGACTCAGACTCCATTTTAGTTAGGACAAGCTATCAGACTCTTAGAGAGTATAGAAGCCATCCGTATGCTTTAGAAGACTGCAGGAACAGTTCAGTTTAGACTTCAGTGCAGGAACAATATGCTTAGAGACTTATTGGACTCTCAAAACAGAGAGATGCATTGGATTATGGGCTATTGTTTCTAAGGAAGATGCCTCGTGTTACCTACACAGAGAAACTACTACAAAATCCTATTGTAACTGGATTCATAAGCAAAGTCCCTATAGGCTGTGTACACGAAGCTTTGTGAGTAAACCATCTCTGTTACTTTTAAAGAAGGTTGTTTATTTTGTCTCTTCAGAGTATGTCTTAAAGGCAGATATATTTTATGGAAGAGTAGATGTTTTCTGGGCGAATAAAGGAGCCCTCAGTGAGGCCAGGCCTTGCACGGAGGACCCGTCGCCTGCCCCGCGCCCTCACCAATGGCGAGTACGTGAGGCAGGTGAGGCAGGCTTTGCATGAGGCCAGGCCTCACGCGGACGACCCCTCGCCTGCTCCGTGTCCTCGGCGATGGCGAGAACATGAGGCAAGCGAGGCGGGCTTTGCGCGAGGCCAGGCCTCACGCGAACGACCCCTCGCCTGCTCCGTGTCCTCGGCGATGGCAAGAACATGAGGCAGGCGAGGCGGGCTTTGCGCGAGGCCAGGCCTCACGCGGACGACCCCTCGCCTGCTCCGTGTCCTCGGCGATGGCGAGAACATGAGGCAGGCGAGGCGGGCTTTGCGCGAGGCCAGGCCTCACGCGGACGACCCCTCGCCTGCTCCGTGTCCTCGGCGATGGCGAGAACATGAGGCAGGCGAGGCGGGCTTTGCGCGAGGCCAGGCCTCACGCGAACGACCCCTCGCCTGCTCCGTGTCCTCGGCGATGGCGAGAACATGAGGCAGGCGAGGCGGGCTTTGCGCGAGGCCAGGCCTCACGCGGACGACCCCTCGCCTGCTCCGTGTCCTCGGCGATGGCGAGAACATGAGGCAGGCGAGGCGGGCTTTGCGCGAGGCCAGGCCTCACGCGAACGACCCCTCGCCTGCTCCGTGTCCTCGGCAATGGCAAGAACATGAGGCAGGCGAGGCGGGCTTTGCGCGAGGCCAGGCCTCACGCGGACGACCCCTCGCCTGCTCCGTGTCCTCGGCGATGGCGAGAACATGAGGCAGGCGAGGCGGGCTTTGCGCGAGGCCAGGCCTCACGCGGACGACCCCTCGCCTGCTCCGTGTCCTCGGCGATGGCGAGAACATGAGGCAGGCGAGGCGGGCTTTGCGCGAGGCCAGGCCTCACGCGGACGACCCCTCGCCTGCTCCGTGTCCTCGGCGATGGCGAGAACATGAGGCAGGCGAGGCGGGCTTTGCGCGAGGCCAGGCCTCACGCGACGACCCCTCGCCTGCTCCGTGTCCTCGGCGATGGCGAGAACATGAGGCAGGTGAGGCGGGCTTTGCGCGAGGCCAGGCCTCACGCGGACGACCCCTCGCCTGCTCCGTGTCCTCGGCGATGGCGAGAACATGAGGCAGGTGAGGCGGGCTTTGCGCGAGGCCAGGCCTCACGCGGACGACCCCTCGCCTGCTCCGTGTCCTCGGCGATGGCGAGAACATGAGGCAGGCGAGGCGGGCTTTGCGCGAGGCCAGGCCTCACGCGGACGACCCCTCGCCTGCTCCGTGTCCTCGGCGATGGCGAGAACATGAGGCAGGTGAGGCGGGCTTTGCGCGAGGCCAGGCCTCACGCGGACGACCCCTCGCCTGCTCCGTGTCCTCGGCGATGGCGAGAACATGAGGCAGGCGAGGCGGGCTTTGCGCGAGGCCAGGCCTCACGCGGACGACCCCTCGCCTGCTCCGTGTCCTCGGCGATGGCGAGAACATGAGGCAGGCGAGGCGGGCTTTGCGCGAGGCCAGGCCTCACGCGGACGACCCCTCGCCTGCTCCGTGTCCTCGGCGATGGCGAGAACATGAGGCAGGCGAGGCGGGCTTTGCGCGAGGCCAGGCCTCACGCGGAACGACCCCTCGCCTGCTCCGTGTCCTCGGCGATGGCGAGAACATGAGGCAGGCGAGGCGGGCTTTGCGCGAGGCCAGGCCTCACGCGGACGACCCCTCGCCTGCTCCGTGTCCTCGGCGATGGCGAGAACATGAGGCAGGTGAGGCGGGCTTTGCGCGAGGCCAGGCCTCACGCGGACGACCCCTCGCCTGCTCCGTGTCCTCGGCGATGGCGAGAACATGAGGCAGGCGAGGCGGGCTTTGCGCGAGGCCAGGCCTCACGCGGACGACCCCTCGCCTGCTCCGTGTCCTCGGCGATGGCGAGAACATGAGGCAGGCGAGGCGGGCTTTGCGCGAGGCCAGGCCTCACGCGGACGACCCCTCGCCTGCTCCGTGTCCTCGGCGATGGCGAGAACATGAGGCAGGCGAGGCGGGCTTTGCGCGAGGCCAGGCCTCACGCGGACGACCCCTCGCCTGCTCCGTGTCCTCGGCGATGGCGAGAACATGAGGCAGGCGAGGCGGGCTTTGCGCGAGGCCAGGCCTCACGCGAACGACCCCTCGCCTGCTCCGTGTCCTCGGCGATGGCGAGAACATGAGGCAGGCGAGGCGGGCTTTGCGCGAGGCCAGGCCTCACGCGGACGACCCCTCGCCTGCTCCGTGTCCTCGGCGATGGCGAGAACATGAGGCAGGCGAGGCGGGCTTTGCGCGAGGCCAGGCCTCACGCGGACGACCCCTCGCCTGCTCCGTGTCCTCGGCGATGGCGAGAACATGAGGCAGGCGAGGC